CGCACGCACGTACGTACGCACGCACGCACGTACGCGCGAACGCGCGAACGCCACGCTTCCGGTATCCCTCGTCGCCGGACACCGGGATTCGGCGAACGGCACCACCTTCACCGAAACACTACCGTCGCGATCTCTTCCCTTCTCCTCCTCCTCCTCCTCCTCCACGTCCTCGTCCTCGTTGTCGTCGTCGTCGTCCTCCTCGTCCTCGTCCTCGTCTTCCTCCTCCTCCTCCCCCTCCTCCTCCTCCTCCTCCTCCTCCTCCTCCTCCTCCTCGTCCACCGCCTCCGTCGTCGTGCTCTCGCTAGGTGGAAGGTAGTGTCAACTACATCCCACGTTTGTTCCTCTCGGTGGAGACATCGAGTCTGCGAGCAAAGACACAGAGTGGATATACAGAAGAATTGTCAGAAATTATTAGTACAATAATATTAATGGGATCGCATCAATGGGATTGGATTCGATATCTCTGCTCTCTCGTAGATATTCGGTACATTTCACTTCCCCCGATATGTTTATTTCATATGACATTTGCTTGGAAGCGAACGTCGAATATCAATAGCTGCGAGAGACATAGAAACGCTTTCGCACTGAGCATTTCCGTGCGACGACAAATAACGGAATTTCAAATATAAGCTAATACGTGACTTTTATTAGAAAATACAAAATCTGTGCATTCCCTGCAGATTTAATTGCCGCGCTGCTCGAGATACGCCTATCCATTTGACACGAGTACTCGCATCTGGTTTCGCGCGCGAGGGACGATCCGCCTTAAATTCAGGCTCTCTGCCGTCATCGCGCACCCGACAGACACTCCAGTGGCGTATTAAAGAAGAAAAAAAAAGAGGAAGAAGAAGGGAGTGAAAGTTCTTTTGTCGTACTTCACGGCGCGAGACTATGCAGTCAGGCGAACCGCGAGAAGCGCAACGTATAATGCCGCGGGGCTTCCACTCCGTTTCCGCGCGAAAGGGGCTCTTTTTCCTCTCCTCACCCCCTGACCGCTACTTCATATTTAACGAGCTACTTATTCGCCACTCGCGCGGAAACCACACTCGCGCGTCCCGCACCCCAAACACGTCTCGAACGTATTAAATAAGCGTCGTCCGCACTTCCGTTTCCGCGAGAACACGCGTCTATAACGCGCTTTTACTATATAGGCGATTCCCGCGTATACCAGTCTCGCCGTCTTATCGAATACTCGAGAGCGAGAAAACGGATTATCGATGATCAGATAGTTGATCCTTTTTTTTTTCGCTAGTAACGCGATGTAACGACGATAATCTCCTGAATCTTAATTCCGTTAGCCACATCGAAAAATTTCTCGTGCGCTTTTTACGCGAGTTAAAAGAATCCATTTACTCACGGAACTTTCAGATCCGACGTTGCACCTCTCCGTCAACGAGATCTACTCGTCTCGTTTAAAAATTTAAAGGATAGAAATTACCTCTTTTACCACGATTCGTACGCGAGGGTCTTTCCATGTAATAAGCGTTTTAATACGGAAGTAAAACGCCCGTCCGGGGCAGCTTGCGCGAAAGACGTCAGGTCGAAGTTTCGAACTTGTTATCGTTTAGAATCACAATTCGATCGCATGGCACTCGTCTCCGTCGTCGAAGACACGGTGCCAGCTCGCGAGGGGAGGTAGCGGCGGCGGCGGCGGCGGCGCTCCAATTACGGACGTATTTCACTTGCGGACTTGTCCGCTTAAACGGGCGCGCCGCCGCCCGTCGCCACGGCGCGGCCTTAATACGCCCAGGAAATTTTGCGAGTGTCACGAATTAGGGAGCCTGTGCAACGGCGCATCCGAAGGAGGACGTCAAAGGATGCCAGTTAATTTGTGCAATTATAACTGACAGCACAAGCAGATTAAACACGGAGACATGGCAAATAAAATGTGTTTACATATTAATAAATAATTTTCCCTCGTTTCAACGATCAAAGACTGTTATATTGAATCGTACGAAAAAGATTCGAAGATTTAAAAAAGTATATATTGACTCGAGATTAATTTCACTTTCGCAAGAATATATTAGAATCTTAGTAGCTTTACGTATCGAAAAGGCAAAGGCCTGTTGCGAATTAAGCCTCGGAGAGGATGAGAATCAGTAAGCGGAGTTCATCCTTAATTTAATTTCGGACGGATTTTGCTGTAATAAAACGTTGTTGCGGATTTAAAGTTTAACTTCCAATTAAAGGCGGTTCAAAAATTCTTAAGAATCCGCCTCCTGATTCTCCGCCGAGAAGACGCCTTCCACGAGGCGGCCTGCCCGATCGAAGGATTCCTTCGAAAGAGTCCTGGCCTTCGCCGCGTGTGCGGTGACACTGAGGGAGGAGGTAGGAACGTGCTCGAAGGTAAGTAACGTACTCGATAACTGCCATAATTGCGACAGATTCCTCATCGAATGCGGCCAGTTCGATATCCCTGGCGAGGCGGCCGAGCTGCTGCTGCGGCAAGGGCGTGGAAGGATGCATGTTGCGCCAGGTGTGCAACGCGATTACCTCCCCGTTAAGTGCGCATGGCATGCTCGACGTCTGTAATTATAGAAACGCCAGTGATATTTAAATCCTTTTTGGCGAATGAGCGCCGTGCAGGGAATATCTCAGGACTGACTCGCGAGTACTGAAACTACTGGATAGTGAGCGGTGAATTAAAGGGCCGCCTTCTCGAAGATCGAAACTCCGAGCGTTATTTCGCTCACGGAAAGCGACACCTCTTCTCGGGGTGCCTTCGAAACCGTTTGAGAAATATTTAAAAGGGATTTAAGTTACTGCCTGTCTCTCTTTCTCTCTCTCTCTCTCGTAACTGTTTCTACAATCTTACAACCGTGCGGTACATAAATAAGTTGGCCGTCTGTCTCGAAGTTTAAATAATACACCGCCCTCTCCGCTCCCTTTTAAATCTTGCGATCCATCCAGCATTCGCGAGGAGAGCCCAAAATTAGTTTCTCTTTTGCAGAAGCGTGAAACGGAGAACTGTCGAGGATATCAGCGATATTACTGGGCTGAATCAATGGCTGTTTTACGCCGGTCGACATTTACCGCGGGGAAACAAAAGCGTGGCGTACTTCGCCGTTTGTTATTCGTTGGTATTAACGTTTCCGCAAACTGTAGTTTCTCGCGCGCGCGACGACGAGTAGGCGCGAACTTCAGTATCGAGCTTCTCGGTATAACGTTTTGCGAAGGTCGAACGGCGTTCGCGCGTCCGCCTCGAGATAATCGGAAGCGAGTTGACGGGACGTCGTTCGAAAATCGATGCGGGCTTGTAATTTTTACTTTATGCCGTTCTAACAACGGCATTGAATTGTTCGTCCCTCCAGGTAGCCTCATTTCATTATACGCGGAACGCTATATGAAAAAAAAGAGCTCCGTGTGAATCGAATTTCTTAATACAATGACACGTTTTAACACGTCCAATAGAAGATTTCTCTTCGTTTCGTCGGCAAATCTCTGTATCGCTCGCGCGCTGACGTAATCAGAGTTGAGTGTACGGTGAATCACGATATTTCATAAAGCCTAAGTGTACTCTCTTAATGTTTCATGTGCACACATACGGAAATTACACGCGGCAGGGATGTTTAGTTTGACTACTAAAGCGCAACAGAGCGTTAAAGGTGGTCCCGGGACGAAGGCGTTTAAATCGCAGTGGATGGCTGCCAAGAGGTCGGCGGTAGTATTACCGAGCGCTATCGCTACTTTACGCACTATGAACTCCGGGGGGCGAGGGAGGGAGGGGG